TTTGCCTCTCCTTAAAATACACCAGAATAGGGAAATTTGGCCACCAAAGCTCCCAATTCACAAACGTTGAGTACCTATATTCGAAAAATAAGTTAACTGACTTACCTTTTAATGAAATCCAATGGGTTCATGGAGCATACTTACTTCCAACGATTTTTTCCACCCACGAAGACATTTTCACCTGAATTCTGAAGCTGCTCTCCTACTTTTACTTCCTACATAAGCAAAAATCACAGAGAAAAAGGTAAACTAAATCTACAGGCTGAGTGAACATACATTAAAAGGAATTGAAGTATACTACTAGAAATACCACACTTCTTAAGAGGGTTAAATGAACAAACCAGAGCCTCGTCATCAAAGACAAATCTGACTCTAGTAGTCTGGAAGAAGAACACCCAAAGAAAAAAGTTCAGCTACTTCTCCAAATTTATATATTAAAGAAAAAAAGGCAACATATCATGTCTAAGTTCTATTATCGAGCTTGTACTGCAAACATTTCCAGCACTGTTACCTGAAACAATAGGAGTAATCCAAGGAGACCGATGGGCGCAGCTGGTAAAAGATTATTTGTATAAGCCAACCCACCAGATAGACCTGTTTCAACCAACATATTTGACATCATGTATATAGTGTTTCTAGATAATGCAATCTTTGTTTAAACAACGGATAGTTGACAGGCGGCTATTTGATACAAGGTCCTCAAAGAAAGAGTCTAACCAGCTATAATCATTACAAAATGTCAATATGAAAAAAATGAGTACGATGCATCATGCGTGTAGTGTTATAACTTGGAAATTTTAGGATTTGGCTTCTGGTACTAAAAACTCCAAAGCTTAAGATGACCAAATAAAAAAGGAAGCCAGTTGCTCAGCCTTCAATGCTGCTCAAACATGCTATAAATTTCATGCAGGGCTGAAAAAACAACCTACTAACAATTAATCCCCGTGAACTGGGATAAGAAAGTTCTGCACACATAACTTCAACTGTGGTTTACATAAATTAGAATAATCAATACACAAACTTCAGCATCTACCTAGTAGAACAATCGGAATTCGGTAATCTGGCTCGGGGATCACAGTCTGCGTGCTCTTGACTTTCCTTCCAAACTGTAACAGATGAAACTAACATCAAGAGTGGCGTCCAGAATCTGGTCATTAACAAAACCTATCAAACCAAGAATCAAAATTCTTGCCTCCTGAGGCAATATTGGGTACAAATCCTTATTTTCATAACCTTAAGAGTGTAACATCTCTCATATTGCAAAAACATATGCAACAAATGTGGATGTGGGTAAAATAATTATAGAAGGATTAAGTGAATAACCACGGAGGCCACAACAAGGGAGCCACCCCCATTGGTGCCACTATTTCTTGTTCTCAGTAAACCTTGGTTATACTTCACTTTGTCATAAATTGGGCTCCCGAAGCTCCTCAAAAATCCACCCACTTCTCTATCTGTGTGAAATACTGTCATAATCAGTTCAACATATGCATCTCTCACTTGCCAAATTAATATACAGAACTACACACTTGTACTTCACTGAATTATGTGAGCACAATTGAAGATAGAAACCAACAGTTAAAAAAAATGAAAGTACCAAACTTACTTTGCAGAGACAGAAAGCAAGGAGCTGCCAAGAGAGTGCTGGCCATTTTTTTTGGGTTCGTTTTTTATTTTCTATGGACGACTGCTTTCTATTTTCTAAAGGAGCAGGAAATGCTTCGAGACTCTGTTTGAAAAGTGAATTTACTGTAAGGACCTCGTTTCGTTCAAAGCAGCTGGGTCATTTGACCAAGGGCATTGAGGTCATTGAAATTTGTGTTTGTATAAGGGGGGCCTTATCCTGTTTTCCTTGTATTGCTTACCACCACCGATTGCATACCTTCTTCACTCTTCAGTCTAAGCTTCGCTCTTCAATAAAGTTGATAACTTTCTTATTGCAAAAGAAAGAAAATTTTGAAAACCTCTTTGAATGGCAAGCTCTCTCTCTTTCACACCTGTTTGTTCCTTCAAATCCACAAACAAACCAAGTACTCTCTCTCACTCTCTCTCTCTCTCAACGACTTTAGTTCATTGTTCTCTATTTGTTTTAGTTAATTCAATTTGATTTATCTACAGGGGTATTGATAGATAATTCAATTGGTGGGAAGGTTCTTCGAGCGAATGAAGTATTTCAGAACTCAAAAGCTGCAAACTTTCAGTCTTGGGAGGTCAAGGTGAGACATTTTAGGTGAACCATGTATCGAAATTTTGAAAAGGGTTGCCTTGCATTCATTTCCTTCGCTCAAGCACGTTACTTGGACCATTTTATAAAGTTGTTGTCCTAGTGCATTTCAGGGGGCGACAGATAGATGGGTAACTTAGCTTTATGAAGAAATATATTAGAACTGAAATGGGTTAAATGAATTGTAAACTTTGTCTGCGAAACCAAGAGTGAGAAACGCGTTCATAATGAAGTTTGATTGCCAAAAGATGCCCATTTTGAAGTCTAATGGCTTTGATGACTGCAACACTATAAATGGTCCTGTTTGATCATTTCAGAAAATCTGTTGACTTTTGAAGTTTGATATATGTAAGCATGTGAAGAAAAGCTTGTATATGCAAATCGCAGACAAGTAATATTAGGAAAAGCTTACTTGGAAACATTTGATAATATATTGAAGGTAATTCTTTTCCTTGGACTTCACTTTGGTTTTGTCTTGCAGGCGACAGATGGTAAGCAAACTACCAAAACAAATAGCCTAGTCTGTTCTAAATGTGAGGGAAATGGTAAGTGGATAACTGGTAGATACTATAACTTATGCTGAATATTGACTTGGGGCTTTAGAATGAAATCTCTGAAAGCATTCAGGCATACTATCTCCTCCTATATTTGTTGACTTTCTGGCATTATATATCTTAGAGGAGTTATAGGACTTAATCATCTATTTCTTTCACATCTAGCCAACTATGTGTTAATCAGATGATTAACTCAGAAACTAGACATATCTGATTGCAATGTTGTTAATCAAGATGGCAGCAAAAGAAAAATAATAGGTCTTTTCACCCTTTTCCTAAATTGTTTTCTTCAGAGGAAACAACCTTTAAATGATGAAGCGTCACTGCTGAATACCTTCTTTATTACCAGGGTCTTTCAGTCAATGATTTATATTTTATACTTAGGTTGAGTTTGGCTGGCTGTTTTCAAATTTTCAAATACCAATCTTTGCACGCTGCTTTCCTGTTATCAGCAAAAATAAGAGATAAAAAAAAGCACATTCCATTCCTCCATGGTTATGGGCTTGAGATTCAGGGATTGCATTGTCCATAGTCATTGCTTAGAAATTGATTTTGAGGACACACTTTTAATCAAGTTATTGTGATTTGTCAATGTTCTCCTGGACAATTTAATATGTTGCATATGCATAGCCAGCCTTTCCCTGCAAATCATCATTTTCAAGTTTTTGATTAGAAGATCTCTTCTCATTTGTTAGTATCAGCATCTGAAAATTTCATCTCACAATTTTATTTTATTTTTATAATTCACCAACCAGGTGCTATATCGTGTTCTCAATGCAAAGGTACTGGAGTTAATTCTGTAGACCACTTCAATGGACAGTTTAAAGCTGGTGGACTATGTTGGCTTTGCAGGTAGCCATGTTGATTCGTATCAACATCTATTTTATTTTCATAATTTCCATGAAGGGAAATTAGAGCTAATTTTCCTAATAAGGAGATCGCAAACTTCAAATGCTGCATGATGTCCCTTCCCTTCATCGAAAATCCCTGCTCATAATTAGTCCCGCTTGCATTACACCCATCCTTCGACTGTGTCTGTCTTTCACCTATTGAGGATTTTGTGCTAGTTCTTATTATATATGCTTACCATCTGATACTAATAATTGTATGTTTTCTTGCAGGGGTAAAAGGGACATTTTGTGTGGAGAATGCAATGGTGCTGGGTTTTTGGGTGGCTTCATGAGCACACAGGACTCCTAGAACGTTGCCACTTGCAAAGATATGCTGCTCAGTTTGTTGGTATGGTGAAATGTTGTACTTGGTAAACAAGTGGAGAACGCATTGCTTTGTTTAGACTTTTTTGTAATATTGGTTTTACCACTGTTGGAAAAACAAGCCAAAATTTTATTGGGTCAGATATTTTGCCTGCACATCTGGTTCCAATATGTTGGTTACTGCATTTTGTTCTAATTACAATGAAGAAAAACAAGGTTTTTTTTTTTGTGTGGAGAAATTCTGAAGTGTTAAATAGTGGTGATAAAACCTTTTTGTGGTCATCCTTGGATAAAATTACAAGCAAAGCTCATCATTCATGGACTCTAATTTCTAAGCCAGTCATTCGAATTTGGGAGGAAGAAATGCTAATTCCAACAATAAATGGAACAAAGTTGACTGGCTGATTCCAACAAAAAAACAGGTTAAAAAGAGAAAAAAGAAAACGCGCCAGGTAGGGGTCGAACCTACGACTTTCTGCTTAGGAAACAGACGCTCTATCCACTGAGCTACAGGCGCTCTTGTGTCCTTCATTGTCACAAAAATCCTGAAAAATAGACTTGCATGTCTGTTTGGTCACGTTATTTTGGAAAATTGTCAGCCACAGCCAGTGACCCAATATTAACCAATTACCAATAGGTAAGTATGATTTTTGGTTACAAACGGAGCTTTTAAAGCCTAAAAGAAACCTCAAGAATTTTTCCAGAGTAGAGAGAGCAATCAATTAAGTTACCTGGGCAACTTCATTCAACTTGTCCTGATTGTTTGAATGTTCATAAAGTTTTTTTTCCTTTTTTATTTAATTAAAACAATGGGAACATTGACTTGATGCATTTTGGAGACGGCAGGCCCGGCTGTGTTTTGTTTCTCTCAAAATTCAATCTTGGATAGAAACAAGGTTGCTCTGTTTCTTCCTTTCTTTCTTTTTTACTGTTAATTACTGATGTACTATATTTTACTTGTTATCAACAAACATCAAACTTCAATCACATAAATTATACAGCAGATCAAGAGGCAGAGACATGCAATAATATGCATACATAGATGTTTGATTTGATGACAAAATATTTCAAGGGGCAGAGACACCATGGCATAGATTGTGTCCAAACCACACTCGGTTGGGCAGGAAAGTGTTAAAGTTAAACGAAACAGTGTTTGCATGTGGACCGTAGATCTTGACGAACTCAGGTTTCCAACCGTCGGATCCATTCCTCAGAAGGTTCAGATAACAGATGTTACGCGTACATGGCCCGTTTATCTCGAACTTGTCGGAGGAGCACCTCTCAAACGTCCTTGAAGCTGGATTGTCAAGCCTCTTTGCATACACCTGCGCATTAACCAAATTAAACCGATAAAATTATCAATTAAGATTTAATTAATTACATGACCAACTTCTAATTACCTCATTGCCAAAAGCATCACCATAGGCGAGGCTGATTTGGTCTCTGGTGAAAGTGGCTGAAGAGCAGCTGGTTTTTATGATCACTGTGTAAGGGCAGCTCCTCTTGGCCTGCAGGCTAGTTTTGGGCTTGAAGCTGGTAGAAGAAGCAGCATGCAAACGCGAAAAACCCATGAAGAAGAAGGCAAAAAGGACTGAAAACACAACTAGTTTAACCATATTTTCCTGCAATTTCTTTTGGTTCCAGAAATGAGATATTAACCAAATGGGTTGCATATATTTATACAAGGAAAATGCTAGGCTTACCACATTTTTCATACCACATTCATACCACCTCTCTAATAGAATGCTAGGCCCCATTGTATTGGTGGGCTCCACCTCTATTAGAAATATGGTATGAAAAATGTGGTAAGCCTAGCATTACCCTTTATACAATATATTGTCCCCTGCAGTCTATGCAAAATGATAACTCTATGACAGTCTTGGTTTGCTCACATTCTTGTTCCATTCATGCCCCGGGAAGTGTTTGCCGTATAACCGTTCTTTACAAATAAAAATCTGAGGGATGAAATAGTAATTTTCCAACTCATTCAACACTTCCAAAAGCCAGTGTGCTGACTTACTGCCCATACTGAAACACTGACGCTCGATATATTCTTTTGATGTTATAGGTCAGTTTAGAGAGACACGCTCAATATATTCTTGCAAGAGCACAGTTTTGCTATTTCGGCTAATCACGGACTTGGCATATTATAAAAGATCATGCAGGGAGACCAACTTGGGATACCAATTTGTGTACCAACTCTCTAATAGAGGTGGAGCCCACCAATACAATGGATCTCACGCTCTATTAGAAAGTTGGTACACAAGTTGGTATCCCAAATTGATCTCCCTAGCATTTTCCTATTATAAATGGTCGGGAATAGTGCTATTCACGTTTCATACAAGTTTTTCAGCAGTTAATTAATTTAGCATTACAAATTTGGCTGGGCTAGGCCCTGGGTCATTGTCCTCTCAACATTTAGGGTTTGGGCCCCAATCCTCCCAAGGGCCAAGACAACATGAGGGCCTAAAAAAGTAAACAAACCATAAGAGAACCATAGCACAAAATAAAGACAGCATTGGGCACTGGGTAAAATAAAAGCTTAGAAATAGAAATAGATCAGTAGTAAGTAAGCATTCCATAAATTAAAAGGGGTAAGCCAAATCTTATTTACAAATTTCACAATTGTTTCTTTTCTTTTCAATGACAATAACTGTAAATCTCACGCCTCCACAGACAGTTTTTAAGATGAGGCGTGTGCCAATGGAAACACAAGATCACAACAGCAGTGGCAGCACACTATCATATCATGTGGCATCAGGACAATATTAGACGCAGAATCTCTCCTGAATGTTTGAATGATTTCTCGGTTTCTTCCAAGCAATGGTTCTTCTCCTCCCTCGTCCAGCTCTGGTGATGCATAGGTGTAAATAACACATCAAGCAAAGAAATACATACACGAAACTTCAATCAAGCAAAGAGATGCATACAAGAAAGTTTTTGCAAAAGAACAGCAGCTAGCTAACTCACCTGGGCAACTTTATTCAACTTCTCCCTTACATTCTGCAACAACTGGGAAAGTTCACCATCCCATTTATAGAATTCCAATTCCTTCTTGTCGAGTATCATTTCAGCCACCTGAAGTTGGGGAAAAATAAAACATTTGAGTTAAGAACTGGACCTCAGCTGCATTTGAAAGAAAATCAAATGTTGCTTGAGCTCCCTGCTTGAACTAAGCAGGTAAGGGGAAAGATTCACATATCTAGTATAGGGAATATCACTCATGCCCCTAAAGTCAGAATTACCAATTAGATTAACTTGGTTCCTGCTACGCAAGTTTAGACTCTCAACCAGCTCAGGCACTGGAGCCAATGCAACATAGACCATGACACATTTGTATGATAATGGACTCCGAGCATTATTTCTATACCTTTTTCCCAATCATTCGACCACCAGCTGAATGAGCAAAGTATATATTATAGAAGTGGCACAGAAATGCTTGAGGATCCTTCTCCGACAGTTCCTTAAGATATTCTGCATAGGTAACACCAGGAGCAGAAGGTTCTGGTATGACATGGCCTTGCTCCTTGAACCACTCCAAATCCTTGGCCAATTTTGCAGACCTTTCCAATCCAGTATTTCTGAACTCAGAATCTATAGCCAAAACCCATACAGCAACGGTACATGTTAGTTTAGTCATATTTACGGTAAATAAATACATGTAGCATTACAAGCTCTCAGATAAACAGACAGGACATCAGCAACACTTCCATTGATATGAAACCTTAGTTATCTCATTTCAATTTTCATATTTGAAAACTCCCTAGATAAGTCCCACAATGTCATGATAATCAAGACTAAACAAGAATAAAACATGTTGCAAAACATGGAAAATCTAATGTAGTATCCTAACACAAAGGGAAAGCTTTATTTAAGATGGTAAGACTCTGATGCAGTATCCTAACATAAAAGTTTTGTGAGAGATATACATATGGATGGGTAGAACTGGATATCTTTGTTAGTGCAGCATCATTATGATAGCAGAAGTGGAGTGGAGATCGTACAACTCTACAATCAAAGAAACATAAATGACCAATAACACCTAACCAACACATAGAAAAGCAATTCCTTGGTGCTATAAAATGCAAAATCACACAGGCCCACAAGGCCAAAAATCATACCACATACAGCTAAAGTATGGCAAGATCATATAACACCAAGTACAGATATTCAAAATCAGAACTTTAAGAACAATAGCGAAAGGCAATATTGACAGTTAGTCAATCCACACCAAACAATAAAATCTCAAAGGATGCACACCCAAAAAAACCTTCAAACAAATACAAGAATAGGCACAAAGTTACATGACAAAAACCATCAAAAGAAGCAAAATTTAAATGATCAAAAAATCACTCACAAGAAGGGAAAGGGGCCTTTTCAACAATCCCTTCAAGGGTATCATACACCAACTTGCTATCCACAAGGAACTTCAAATACCCATCAACGGTTGGTTCCCACTTAGCCACTGGTCTCTCCTGAGGCTCTTTGACCTCCTTCTCACCCTCCTTAGCTTGGTCCTTGGTGTGTAATTTCATGGCCACAAACCTCATCTCCTCCACAAACCCCTTTGACTCGCCCGGGTATCTCTTCTTGGCCTTCTCCGCCGTGGTGGCAGAAACAACCCCAGCAGCCTTCATGGGCACTCTGGTACTCATCCTTGGGATCGAAACAGAGGATTTTTTAAGCAGGAAACCAGAGCCTAAATTGGGGCTTGTGAGAGACTTGGGCGGGGCTATTTTGCAACGGGTCTTGTTAAAAAGGGACTGGGATTGCGAAATTGGGGTTAAAGAAGCCATTTCCGAAAGTTCAAAGATTGAAACAAAGCGAGGAAGAGTGAGTGAGTCAGTTAAGTGTATGATAGCGAAGCGTGAACGGAACTTTTAGATTTAAGAAACAAGAAATAGTTTATGAGTTTGGCTTGAAACGGCAGTTCACGTCCTCTTGAAGCCAAAGCGATGGATAATATTATAAAAACAATTTTTTAATCAAACAATAAGTTAAGCAAAAAACAAATTGAAAATATTGAATTTAATGCAGTGTGGGCTGGTGCGTGAGTGCGTATGGGTCTCTCTGTGTTTTGTTGTTGCTATCGAAATTGAATCTTGGATAGAAGGGCTGCTCTGTTTTAATGTTAATTTACTTCTTCTGGTTCTCAGTTCTGGATTAGTGGATAGAGAAAAAAGAGAGAGTTTCGTCAGGACAATTCCAATGCTGAGCTGGGTGGGTGGAGGTCATCCGACGTCGTTTTACCTTTTGCTTCACAGGGCAAGCTGGTAATACGACTTGAAGTAGTTTGTGGCTTTGGGACTCTGCCGTGGTCAAGTGTGGAACACTCTTTTGACTCTCTTCTCTGTTCTTTTCAGTGCCAAAGACAACACCATTACTTTACGGAAAATACTTCCCTTCTTATTTTTCTGTAGGTAAGAAATTCTATATTTTTGTTAGTGACAGTTTAGTAGCGTCTCTATAAATTTTTCTTTTTTATGTTTTATAATTTATTTTTACACATGTGTCACAGTGTCAAATTGTAATTTGCAAAAAAAATACGTTATTAAGAAAACCAAACAAAACCCAAGTTCCCTTATTTTACATACGATTTACAACACTAATTATTTTTTTTGGAAATTTCTTGTGTAGTTAAAAGAGGCTAGGAAAACCGAATATAAATGAAAATAGAAGACAAGTGGACATCAAAGTCGCTTTGGCCGAGTGGTTAAGGCGTGTGCCTGCTAAGTACATGGGGTTTCCCCGCGAGAGTTCGAATCTCTCAGGCGACGATACTTTTTGGTTTAATTAGCTTCTTTTTTTTTTTTTAAGTCTGGGTGGGCTCAGTCGTCCCATTTAATGGATAAATGGACCAATAAAGACCCATAGCGAAAGAACAGGGCCCTGACCAAATTCTCTTGATTAAGATACAATCCAAAGGCGTCACATATATCACACATACATTTTTTTAATTTTAAGTTCCACTACATCTTTATCTCTTTTTGGCAATCCAAAGGTGTCACATATATCACGCATACACTTTTCTTATTTTATTACAAGTCACCTTTTTTTGAGCGTTTTTTTAATACAAACAATACTAAGAGAGAGGATTCAAACACAGGACCTCGAGTGCATGAATAACTGCTCTTAACTATTGAGTTACGATGCCCTTGCTGCTCTTTTTTGGGTGACTAGTTAAATTTTGAACAAACTTTTCTAATCTCTCCTTGTGCACCAGTTTTCACCTCAATGCCACTCATTTTGATCATAGCTTTTGGGAATTCAAGGTCAAATCTAAATCCAAGCAACCCCCTTATACTGCCAGCATAGTTTTGGATTATGTTGCGAGTTGAAGCATCACCCCAAAGCCTCTGGTCTGACTCCAGAACGGCATTGCCATCCCTCACATTCTTGAAGAAGCTCACATCAAAATTAGTCTGGCTGCCTATATCTAACGCCACCCGCTTAGAGCCATCTCCATCTTTGGGGCAAAGAGCTTGGAGTTGTGCTAGGAAGGCTTGGTTTATGGTCGGGTCAGAATTCCCAGTTGCTGTGAAATTGTAAAGACGGTATGTGATAAATGTGCAGTCTGTTTGGCCAATAGTATGTGCCCCTGCATCCAATTTCCATACACTTATAGCTTAGTTTGGAGCTTTTTGTAATTATACATATAAATGATTATGGCCCTTGTGCTGAAAAAGAGAGCTTACCAACTAGAGTTACAAGATCATGATCGTCAAGGCCTTTGGCTGCAAACTTTTGCCTTTGGGCAGCAACAGAATCAAGAGGAGATGGTAAGTTTGAGGCTTGAGATGACAAAGAGACGCTGCCATCTCTTCTTCCAGTGGGCACTGACCAACTTGGACCGTCACTCTGAAATTAATACAGCAAGAAATACACCATTAGAAACTAATTAAATTGAATTGAATATATTATTTAGTGTGTGTGTATGCTAAACAGAAAGGTATGTTTTTACCAAGTCAACAGCATCACGAGCAGCCAGTGCAAGTATATCAGCACATGAGACAACTCCAGGACACAAGGCCTCTAGTTGTGCTTTTGCATCATCAATTACTTCAAATCCTCTCAACCCAAGATTTGGCAATGCATTTCCCTCCGCCGACGAGCCCTTAACCAAAACCGACCCATCACAACCCTGTGGAACATGAACACAAGCAAGAAGCATGAACATGTAACATGCCAAATGGCCCAAATTAACAAAATATGAACAAAGACTCGGTCACTCAGCAAAAGAAGAAAACAAAAACCTGAACAAAGCAGTCATGGAAATGGAGCCTAAGCAGGCCAGCTGCAATGGTAGGATCTTTGTTGAAGTATGATTCAACCGTGGACCTGATTGTGGCCTCTGCTTTTGGGCATGAAGAAGAGTAAAACCCAGTTTTCAGTTGACCTTGTACAGGCAAAATCATTACCAGAATGACAAGAAAAAACGACCCTGTGGCTTTCATATCTGTTCTAATTGCTTCTTCACTCTTCACCAAAACATGCACCACTACTTTGTTTATAAATGGATTTGCTTGAGCCACTTTCTTTCCATTGCATTTTTGGCTTGTAACCCTTTTATTAGTGGAACGTGTGGGCCATATATGCGCTTTAGAGAAGATGGTGGATTTCACTGTACATGGATATTGATTTGAATGTGAACTGTAATATAATGTGGTAGGCGCCCTCTCTCTCTCTCTCTCTCTCTCTCTCTCTCTCTCTCTCTCTCTCTCTCTCTCTCTCTCTCTCTCTCTCTCTCTCTCTCTCTCTCTCTCTCTCTCTCTCTCTCTCTCTCTCTCTCTCTCTCTCTCTCTCTCTCTCTCTCTCTCTCTCTCTCTCTCTCTCTCTCTCTCTCTCTCTCTCTCTCTCTCTCTCTCTCTCTCTCTCTCTCTCTCTCTCTCTCTCTCTCTCTCTCTCTCTCTCTCTCTCTCTCTCTCTCTCTCTCTCTCTCTCTCTCTCTCTCTCTCTCTCTCTCTCTCTCTCTCTCTCTCTCTCTCTCTCTCTCTCTCTCTCTCTCTCTCTCTCTCTCTCTCTCTCTCTCTCTCTCTCTCTCTCTCTCTCTCTCTCTCTCTCTCTCTCTCTCTCTCTCTCTCTCTCTCTCTCTCTCTCTCTCTCTCTCTCTCTCTCTCTCTCTCTCTCTCTCTCTCTCTCTCTCTCTCTCTCTCTCTCTCTCTCTCTCTCTCTCTCTCTCTCTCATCTTTGATTCTGCAGCTTTATTCTTCCACGCGTTTTTCCCCTCTGTTGATGATGTTGTTTGTTCAAGTCCATTTCTTCTTTTTTCCTTTAAATTGTTCTCGTATTGGGGGTTCCCATTTGCTTTTATTTCCTATTTTTGCATCCAAAATCTTGATCGTGTGCATGCAAATTAAAGTTTTGTTTTCTCAATTAGTGCAGCACTTTAACTTAGTGCTTAAGTAAGTTGGTAGTGTTCATAATTCAAGTACAAAAACCTGCAATGCAAGAGGCTTCCATTCCTAACAGTAGATATATACATATTTTGTAGTTTGCTCAAACCCCTCATCAGATGAGAATGAATCTCTTTAGCTTTGAAGAGTTCAAAGTTCATCTTTTATGGAAATGTTCTGTAATGGCATCCATAAACCCGCAACAGGAAGATACTGAAAAGTACCAAATGCCTCTGTTCTAGCTGTGAGAACGAACAAACACCTAAGTTGCTTTTTTCGGCAGCGATTTAGCGGTATCTTTCCAAATTTCTTGTTAAAAGTAAAAACAAGACATTGTCCGAAAAACTACATTTGCAAAATATGGAGAACATTATTACTTCCATTAGGCCAAAGATTTTATTATACAGAACTTAATTCTAATGAACTCATTCCAGTTACAACTTTGCATTTTACATCTGTGTTAGTATATAAAAGCATGCATAGCAGATGCATGTAAAGTTTTTGAATAAATAGCAAAAACAAAAGAAAAGGGGGCACATACTAGTCCCCATTTCAGTACCAACAACCTATCTAGCTACTTGGCAACTTGTTCCAGAACAGGGACTTTTTTCCATTCATCCTCTAATTCACTTATTTGCAGTGGCGGCAACGAAAAGACACTAACAGTAGAGCTTCCACTCCTAATTTCCTTCAAAGCCCGCAATGCCGATATAGTACTTTTCATGTACAAGCTTTCAATGTACTCGATCTCTGCTAGTCCTTTGTTTACTCTGGGAATGCCATCACTCTCGGTAGTGGTAGTGGCAGAAGTTGAAGGATCACACCCTTCATCCCCATCAGATCCTTCATTTGGAATGGGCTGTTCAGTCATGGCAAAGAGCTGGTCAAGCGTAATCTCACACTCCTTCACGAGCTTGTAGAGCAAGTCGGTGGTGAAGAAAGGCTGTTGCAAGACCTTCTGAATGAAGGGCAAGCGCATAAGAGCACCGGTTCTTTTATCGTACTTCTTGAGTATCTTTACCAGTCCTGTTAAAAAGAAATTAAATTGAGCTCTTTAAACCATGAAATATTTCTACACAACACAGTTTAGATCGTTCACTTAAATTTGTCAAACTCGCACAATTTGTAGTTTAAAAGACCAAAGATTGTAAAGTTCCTATGACCATAATGAAAAGAGAAAAAAAAAAAAAAAAAAAACAGGATAAGTCCTTGATGATGTGCCGGTGGGAGACCAAGTTCATGCAAAGCTCTTCATAAAGGCTGAACAAGATTGTCACCATACTCTAACTACATATTGATACCACAGAGAAAGGTGCTAATGTGAAGGTATTAATGCCTTAATGCAGAACGTATCGATAACCCTTAACAACGAATAGTTTTACCGGGTCTTGATTGAACCCTTTGGCATTGGAAATGGCTTCTGAGGGTTTATCCTAAATGCCTTCATGCACACGGAATGTCAAAATAAATATAAACATATGGAAACCCATAATGACAAGCTAGCATACTTTTCAGTCTTCAAGTTCGCTCTATATTCCAAAGAAAGAAGTAAAAGAAAAAGATCAATACCTGTATAGTTGAGGGCACTATAATTCTCCAGCAAAACCATCTCTCCATGGAAGTCCACTATCTCCTTGCGAATCTTAGTAATCTCTTCATTGGAATGCTTTGCTTTTGCCACCCTGTCTTGTATCTCCTGCATTCCATACACATATAATACAATTCATTTCCTGCCCTTGTATAATATATTTATAAAAAAAAAAAACTGCAATTCCAGCAATACATTATTAGTAACACAAGGCGCAAGTTAGCACTGAGTTTATTTACTGTACCAAACGGTGTGTTCGTTAACTAACGGAAAATAGCGCAGCAAAAGCAACAACAGCCATACAAAGCGAGGTGCGAACCAGTTCAAAGTGACAGGTGGCGGCCTCCCGCACACATGACTATATGTGTGGTTCACAAAAGCAACGGCAAAGCCAAAATGACTAACGGTCTGTCGTAAAGAGAAACGTGGAATAGAAGATTCCCCGTGTGCGCAGTGCCCATGATAGCTTTAAACGCACAGGTCACATACCAGAACAGAGGGTGCCGTTTAGGTTTGCGTCAAATTTAGAAAATACGACTCGCAAGCTAAACTCGGGATTCAGAGATAAATCTAGCAATTAAATATCCAACTTTAGAGATAAAACTAGAAAATAAACGATAATTAATTAGATAGCCTAAAGACTCTGTTTGGTTCCAGAGAAAGGAAACAGATGAATGCGAAAGAAAAGCTTGTGAAGCAGAGGCTTCTTCTATGTTATTTTGAATTGTAGACCATAAAAGTAAGATGCTTTATGAAACTTGTATAATCTAAATTAAAAAATTTCTCAGGAACCAAACAACTATAGAAGAAAGAAAAACTAGAACATGAGATTAGAAAAATAATACCTTCAAGGTAATAATATATTCTTCCTCCTTTTCGACAAAGAAGGAGTTAAATTTCTCGAGCTCGTCCTCCAACAACTGAATGAAATTGATCTCTGCCGTGGACATGCCCTCCTTATCTCCGTGAGCGTCCGCACAATCAGCGGAGGCATCAATCCTGGGACGCTTGGTGGGCCTGTCACCGCCTTTGGGCTCGATGAGCTTCAGGCACTTCTTGAGCTCCTTGTAGGACAAGAACTTGTCCCGCCATTCCGGCAAGGTTTCCTCGATCTGGCTGCTCAGGCTCTTGCCGAACTTCATCTCGAATTCGAAATCTTGTTTATTCGGATAGAAAGGTAAAGTTTAGAGATTTTCTCGGGAAAATGAGGGGAAATGGGAGAAAATACGAGGGAGTGGGTGTGAGTGGGGGTTGGGCGGTGAGGGTAAAGGCAGAAGGGGAGGGGGGGGAGGGGGATATAACGGTAAGGAGAGAATATTCGAAGGGTTAATGTTGGAATATCCTTTTGTTTTCGAAGAGTATATTACGGGTTTTATTCCCTTTCTCTGTTCAAGTGCACGTTTTGTGTGCGCGCGCGCGCATGTAATTATGTGTGTGACTCCGTGGAGCGACAGATAGAGGATTTTTTAAAATTTTGTTAGTTTTTATTTATTTCTTTGGTCTTTAATTAAGCGACACGTGGAGCAATATTGATCTGGAGTGGCTCGAGGAGTGTAGCCGGGTTGGAGAGACGGAGCGAGTGAGCTGAGTCGTTTTGTGGGGGAAAAGTGGATACAATTTGGTTTTGCTTGTTTTCTTGGGATAACAAAAAGTTAAGGGGAGGGAGAGGCTATCTCCACACCCGCGGTCACGGCAGCAAACTCCGTACTTTTTCGTAAATATTTACAGTAGAATTAATTACCAACTAAACACAGAATTGTTGGATTTTTTTTTTTTTGGTGAGACTCAAGGATATCCACCGTCGATAGCAGTGACTAATCCCTTTCGCTGTGGGAGCTCTCCCAATGGAGGTAAACGGCTAGCCACAAAATGAGCTCCATTCCCATGGGCGGGAATCGAACCCCCAACCTCATGATTAAGGAATGAGGTGAGCTACCACCACACCACATCTCATGGTTAGAATTATTAGATTTGAATACTGGTGGGGTGACACACAATATAGGGACTTCATTATTACCATTTCTTAATTATTAATGTTTGGTTCATTAAATTTTTAACTAATAAAGTTACTAATTAAATCTTTCATTAAGCATACATGGTAATACTTTACTTTTTTTTTAATAAAGACAATTAATTTTATATTTAATTATAGATCAATATGTCATATGAATAAAATTTAATAAATATTTTGGATATTAAGATAAAATTCTTCACTAAATAATCACAAGTCATAACCTTAACTCTCCCAAATAGACTCATGGTACCTAATTTGTCATGGATCATTAATTGTGTTTATCAAGTCTCATTACTGAAAATAAATCATAATATTTTGTACACGTATATTCTAACAAAAGCTGATTATCTCAAGTAACCTTCAATCATTGATGAAAAAGCCCGAGTTGGAGAGTGATATAGCTTAGTTTAAAGGATAATGTGCCACGTCGTCAAAGAGATGGGGTAATTATATTATTTGTTTAAATTTGTTCCTTAAAGAAGGAAAAGAAAAAGAAGCGAAAGAGAAAGGCCAAGCCCAGTAAGCCGAGCCAAAGTGAGGAGGGTTGTTGTTGTTGTTTGCCAATATATGACGCAACGGCAACGCATGGTATAATTCTGATTCGGAAGCATCCCTGTGCTTATCTCTCAAAGGAGGGGAACGGACCCAAAGATTAATATATTGAAAATACACGTGGCTGTCTCTCGTACTATGCCAGCGTGTCATGCACGACAACGCAAGGAAGATGTCCAAGTTCGTACATTAAATTGTGAAACTATTTAATCTTGGAATTTTCGGCTTCACGGACAATATTCGGATCTATCTCTAGGATATTCTTCGCTTCCTTCCACTCTTTAATTTTAGGCTTCAAGTCCAAGTCTTGGAGGTTGGAAGTTGGAAATTTCGGATTCACAGACAAGTCTTGTTTGTTTCTTTTTATGAGCTTTCCCCCTCGTTTTGGTGTGTAATCATTAATGTATTGTTTCATCCTCCTCTCCTCTTCTTGCTTCTAGTGTCATTTCTTCATTTCCTCTTCTTCAATCTAGCATCGAAGTTTTCATTCATAGCTTAAAAACTCACATGAAATCTTACTAGTAATAAAATCTACACAACTTATAAAAATAGACACTCAATCAAGTCTTAATCTCTTCTAAGATAATCATGACTACGACAATCGCGTCCAACAGCAAAAGACAAAATCATACTTAAATTTATACAAATATCTAATACCACTACTACAAAATTACTTATTGTTTATAGTGTCATAGATTATCACACTAGTGATTATAAAAACACCAGATATGTAGCCGAAGGTTCAATTGTTAAATAATTTGGCACGTTATTTGACAAAATAACAGTCAAATAGAAACTTCACAACATAACATGCTAAACAATCTGGTGTGGGAAAGATTTTGAGAAGAAAAAGAAATAACAGTTTTGATGTGATGTGTTGAGGCGGATTATAATATTTTCATATAACTATAGGAAGAAAGATATAACCTTTGGGCATATTCTCATTTGGGTTCCTTTATGCTCTCGCATATCATATATCACCCGCACTTGAAAGCCAGCGGTCTTTCCTACCCATCCCAAACTATAATGTATGAATCCTATGTTTGATTGAGCTCAAAGTCCACACCAAACACATGCTTGGATTGGATCTTGGTTTCGTTGTGCCCAAAATAGTTTGAGGATCGGCAAATAAAAGCAAAAAAAATTACTTATTGGGTATTGGCAAACTCTGAAAATACCGTATACTGTATCAAAAAAATATAAAAAAATGAATAAAGAATAAAGCTCACGTTGAAATTACTAATTAATTTAACTAATTAGTATTTGGTCCCATGCGAATCTATGGTGATCTTAATTTCTGTTTCATTCGGTCATTGGACTTTTTCCCAATTAGTAAACTCCTAACTCCTAATCATATTTTATGATATCATTCACAACAATCTCACATCAACGGTGGCATGGCATCTATCGAGAATATTTTTCAGGATATTCGTAATGGAAGATATTAACAACATTGTATTAAATTATTTACTAATTAAAAGGACTCGAAGAGAACGCTATAAAGTAGCTTATCAACGCCAGCCACGTGGAATAATGTTACGATAAACAAAGGTCAGTCCTGGGTTCAAATATGAGCCTGCTAGCTACTAGCTCTTTAGGGTCAAAGCCCATCCATTAATGTTTGACCAACCAATCTAAGCTATTAGCCACTTGGGCTCTCAGGGTATGGGTCTCAAGTTTACAATATAACCTGACCAAACCCTATTCCATTAACAACATTCGGTAGGCCTTTACCGACTCAATCACATGGGACAATATTTGCTGTCTGGATAGTGGTACAATTCTATATAGTGGGGTTTTTTGGTTGTTGGGGTTTTCCAGATGGACAAAGAAGTGTCATGAAGTGGGTCACTATTTTGTTATTCCCGATTAATAATGTTGTGACGTACATAATAACATTTTCACGTGACATAACATTATTGATCGGAGATAACAAAACAGTGTTATTCCCATTGCAACTAAGTTTTTCTCCTACAAATATAGGCCCCACAAAACGGAAACTTTTTCATGCAATGGTTGCAAAGTCATGTGGTACTATTAATTCATAGTTAATACATCATGGAATACATAAATACGTATTATACCATGCAATTGATAACGCCAAAAAACTCCCCCCATGAAACACTTAAATAAAGACCCAGTATAAACTATTAACTTGACGCTTACTAGTCAGGCCACCTACCAAAGGAGAAAGACGGCAAAAGAGGAAATGATGAGAAAATAGAATATGATTATTATTATTATGACATTTGGAGCCTTGGATATTCTTTAAATCGGACCTACATAACATTCAAAACACACAATGCTATTTCCAAAATAAGTGGATGACCTAACTTTTCCTGCAAATTCATTTCCCTTTGTGCGTGTGTGTATATGATTAGCTAGCAAATATCTAGAGGTTAATAGTTTTTGAAAAGACCAAACAAGGACCAAATGAAATGTTTATATATAGCATTGGTGTTTTTTTTTAATTTTCTTTCTGAAAACAATACCCTTGATTTTGCCAGAATACGCACTAAATAATGCAGAGGAGGTGTGGGGAAGACTTTTGAATAGACCAAGTCTTTGAGATCAGGCGGTGGTGGTGGTCCTCCGGCCGCGGCATCAAGTCAGCAATGGGATATACCTTTGTAAAGGGCGTCTCTCAAATTATATATTTGTCTACTGTCTATTCAAAAGAAGAAATTAAGAGCCGTTAGTTAAGCTAACAATTTAGATACACTCAATTTCGCATGGGTCTAATCAAACCTTTCAGAAATTTGACAACAAAAAGAGAAAATCACACGTTTCAGAAAATGAATAGAGACATACTTAGTTCGATCATGTCCTACATACAACAATTACGTGAAATTGTATGTGACACATCCAATGTAATTAATATTATTACAACAGTTTAATTACAATTTACATGGAGATCAAAGACAGAAAAAAGGTCAAATCATCTGCACATGGGATATGCTATGCTCTCTCTCTCTCTCTCTCTCTCTCTCTCTCTCAATTCACCATATCGATCGATCCTCCTCATAAGTCTCATATCATGATTATGTCCCCTTCAATGCATGGCTTCAGGAAGCACATATTTAATTATATATCTAACCTATGTACCTAATACATCTTATTTAATTTCTCTGATTAAAAAGTATATTATATATATATGTATATGTTCGGATTAGAGAATATATTATATAGGTATATGTATGTATATAATACATGAAATTGAATCGATCTGTCATTGTCTAATAAGCTTAGTTTTGGGTCCCACTGAGTTCATGCATGAGATATGCTCTCTGTTTGTGCCACGTAGCCCTTGAAAATCTTAAATATGAAACCTAACCCAATGGTTGAGGAATTTCAATCGGCTATTGAATGAGGGTAAAGCGACATATTTCGAATTGGAATCTCCAACACATATGCATCACCTCACTTTCGTAATCGAACGGCCCACGTGGACCATTCTATTTATAGCTCTTTAACTGTGCGCTCATGCCCACGTCTATACGTACCTTACCCTAGCAACTTAACCAGGGCATGCTTGGCACTGCTTGCTTGCTTGCTTGCAGGCCAAATCCAGTGAAGTCTGGTCCCTGAAATTATTTTAAAACTCACATTGTGACTCGACCACAGAATTTATCATCCGGGCCTCTACTTCTTTAAGAGATTGACTGTCATTACACATTCGACTACCTCGATAATTCATAGGATTAACCAAACACTAACAATTAATTAATGAAAAAAGGA